GTTACAGAAAGATATCTAAATATATCAAAACTAATTAATTACACCATAGGCTAAATTGAACAGCTTTAACAATTAAGTTGTCTAATTTAAGTATGTCTTCAAAGTCATTTTAAAAATGAATATATTACGGTAATGTCTGTGAGAATGACGCATATACTCCCTTTTGTGTTAATTCTACATTAATTTAGGGATTCAAGGTTTAAATTTAAGGTTTAATGCATAATTTAGTGCATAATTTACCAAACAGTAGAACTTGCGTATGAGAACTATTGAATATCCAGTGTGAAACAACTTGGCACAAGAAGAAGAGAGACTCCCCCCCCCCCCAAAAAAAAAAAAAAGAAAACAAAAAATGAATCATCTAAAACTATCAGACACTGAAAGCATAGATACACACAGTGTGGACAAAACAGAAAAACAGAAACAATGTATGAAAAAGGACTACTACAATCATAATGATAAATGCAACTGTAAAGGTGTCCCACAGGCTAGATGCCAATTATCAGTATGAGTCAGCTCTAAAAGGTCTGACCATTAGCACTTTGATATGTGAAAAGCAACATGAGGCTGCTTGCAGTTACAAAGAGACTATAGGGAGTTGGTACCCAAATTTTACAAGCATTAGTCACAAAAATCGGAAAATTGTGTCAAGAGGAATAGTCTCAAAAATCATGACAGGATATGCTGAACCATTCCACAAATGGACATTGGTTGTAAGTCTGGTTCCAGAGACAGGAGATGGAGAAACACAAAATAATTGCTAAATACCATAAAGTACTCTTAAAAATACCACAGCACTGAATGAGCATCTCTACAAGTCTCAACAACTACAGGGTGAACTTCACAAAGCTGGAATTTGTGGAAGGGCTGAGATCCTAGACCAGTGCACAAGGATGAATAATGGTGCAAGAATCACTAAACCAGGACCACTTGGGAAACCACCACACAAGAATCATTTGAAATGGAATCATTTGAATTGACTCAAAGGCTGATATTAAAGTGCCAAGCCGCAGCAGATTTAGCAAACTTATATCAATATTATATGGAACTTCTGGTACATGGTGAAGCAGCAAGATTAGTGAACTTGGTGAAACTGCAAATGACCTGTCAGTCCTAGGAAGATCACTCTAAGCAGATGACCGAATAATACTTATAGAAGTCAAGGAAATCTCCTTAAATAATCAACAGATCCAAAGGTATCTATGATGTAGGTGTACACGTTTCAAAGACTACCATACAGAGAAGACATGAAGATTCACCATAAGATACAGACCCCTGATAAGAATCATACACTTGGTTGGCTGTAGAGTTCTGGAACAAAGTGCTACAGTATGGTAGATGAGAAAAAAAACATGTATGAGTGATGGAAAGAAGAAAGTGGAACAGCAGCTCATCTGTCAGTTATGGCTTATATGTGCTTAGCTGCCAGTAGAACCAGTTCACTGGTAGAGCATCACCGGGGAAAATGTGAAATGTCTTGTGATTTCTATGGATAGAAAAAAACTAAAACTTGCCAGAATTGATTGAATTTCATTTACAGTTCTATCAGGACAAGAGGTATGTTTTTAAAAACATTACCACCAGACTGCTTATTTCTGTAAACATTAATTCTGCTCATGTCTGGAATCCGTTCTTATTTCTGTCACTGCGTGTGGCCTTTTCAGGAAGCATCAAGCTCTGAAGCTCCAGCTTCTCTGAAAGGGCTTCTTCAGAGTGACGATCCTCAGCTGAGGCCGCCGGAGGAGGGGGGCTGTCGCCTCTGCTTCACTTTCTGCTGTAGGGAACCGTCTTTTGAACGTCTCTGGGTATGACCTCTGGAACTGCAGAAGGGACATGTCAAACCGTGTTCCACAGTCACACTTCGGGAACAGCAAAGAGGACTGGGAGTTTGGGGTTAACAGTGACTACCGCATCTGTAGGCCAACATACATTTGGTTTGGATTAAGGGTTTCCAATGAAACACACTAGGAAATATACCTTATAAATGTATAATTTGTGCAACACTGAAAATAAAAATTTAATTAATAAACAGAAAGATCTGGCAGACAAAATGAATATTTTCATTATGGCCAAAATTTTCCTCCTAGAACTAAAATTGCAAATATTCTTAAGGCCTTGGTCAAATGAACAGGGAATTAAAACTTTTTCTTTTTAACCTTTAATGGCAAGTTAGGAGTGGGACTGCAAATGGACAGAAGCTATAAGAACCATCTGTAAAGTGGATGACATACATGCTTTAACTTCTTCTTCTTTTGCTTGGCTGTGAGCTCCTTGTCTGCAATGATTCCATCGAGACGCTCTAGACAGGGATCCTGTGAACCATGTGGCTTCTGCTCTCTGAGCTCCTTCTCGTAAATGTACATACAGGAGGATGGCAACAGCGGGGAGGCCTCAACACCTGAGTAATTAATCTGAACACACACAAACACACACACACACACAAACAATCATGAACCATAGGCAATTTAGAAACGTCATTTAACTTGAGACATTAGTTTAACTCTTAAATATAATGAAACAGTTGAATCTTGCAGTAATACGTCCTACATACCACTCTAAATTAAATTAATCTAATTCCAACTACAGATCTTGGGTGGCTTGACAAGTGGAAGGGGGGGGGGCATACAAGAGTGACTTGATTCGTGACTTGAGCATGAGTCAAGTTGGGAGAGTCACTAACTGGAATCTCCACCTCTGACAGGCATGAAGCACAAAGCAATGCTGACTAATTATTTGCTCCTGCTCAATATGATTTCTATGGAATACTAAATGTGTACAGCAGAAGACGAATGTCTTTTTGTGACTAAGTCTTGTTCACTTTTCTGCTCTTCACTTATTTTTGTTTAATTTCTCAAAAACGCAGCACAATATCAATTAGTGAGTCCATCAGCAAGGAAATGAATAATTATGATCGTCTCAAATGCGCTTCCAGAGCTCACGCGAAAGTAGCGGCGGCAAACCTTAAAAATGGGGGGAAAAAATGATAATGTTGAAAAGGAAACATCGTTAACCTGATGATTTGTACCCAGCAGACTATTGTGGTCCTTGCGACGACATTTCGTGCACATGCAGTTTCACGTCAATATTAACATCGCACAAACCTATCAGGACCACAGAGTGAGTAACGCTGTCACCGCATGCTGCCGCTTTCAGTTTGTACAGTTCACATGTTCACCCTGTATGTGCACAAGCTTAGCGGATCCTCAAGTTTCCTACCACCGTCCAAAAACATACAACTCAAGTGAACCGGAGTGCCTAAATTGACCATATGTGTGAACTAATTGCAATGTATATACTAGACAATTACTCGATGAATTGTCACATTAAAAATCGGTAGATTACTCAATTATTGATATAATTGATAGCAACAAACCAAATTGATACAAACTATAACAACTAATGAAATTTAGCTACTAGAAATTACACGACAGCTTACCTGAACCCTTCGCAGATGTGCAATGTGCTCCTCAACTGCCTTCTGCAAACGGCTTGGAACTCTAAAAACATCTTCATAATTGTCCATCATAAAAGTGACTAGCTTGGTGGCCAGCAACTCATCAAGGTCAATCTCATCAGCAGAACAAAGAATGGAGCGTGAAAAGGTCTGCAGCATCTGTTCAGAAGCATACATTGGTGAATGTGCTGGCAAACACATGATGACAATGTAGCAGTGCGAGTCACATTACTATTAGCTTGCATGGAGAAGAACATCTGGTGTATAGGGCAGTGATTCAAATTAATACGAGTCCTTCAGATAAAATATGTTTTTTATATATTTCACTTGGACTCGAGATGCATAACGTATGACATGAGGAAGAAATTCCTAAGAGCAGAAGATGCAAGAGTGTTAACTTCACAGAGGGGTTAAAAACAGAACAGCACAAATGAGCAATGAGCGACTGAGCAGTCATACCAGCATTCGAGTCCCCACAGCGCTGTTCAGTGCTGGAAGCTGTGGGTTTTTGCACACACGCACCATAAGGCACAGCAGCAGCTGGAGATGCCGTCGCTTGGCTGGGGGCAGCAGGAGGCAGCACAGCTGAAGGGCTTCGCTGGTGGCCTGTTGTTTCTCGATCAGACCTGCCACGGATAAGAGAACCAGCCAAGCTCCACACTTTAGCAAATATTCGCATAAAGGTTTATGAATAAGTGTGTCTTAAAGTACCAAAAGTATGGCACCTAGTGTAGTGGAAAAGCTCCCTTAAATTTTAAGACTTCATAAGACTTTTCAAGGCCTTAATTGTTACGACTAGAATTTAAGACATTAAGACTTTTTAAGGTTCCACACCCTGGATACAAATCAGCAACAAATCTCTAGGCGGGTCTCAAATAAAATTTCGAAAATTCCTATTTTAATTTCTTTCATTAAAATAGTTTCTTTTCTTTCTTAGTTGAATCCTTCCACCCTACTAATCAGACAAGGATAGACTCACCAAGGATACTGACAAAAACGTCATAGAACTGGAAGGTTAAAAGCGGTTCATCAAGCTCCTGAAAGTAATCTGCCACCGTCCTCAGGATATCCCTCTCGAACCCAGGGTACATGGACTGCTTAGTGTGACCATCATCAGGCCCTGGACAAAGACCAATCAGTTCCTTATAACAGAAATCAACAAACTGACAAAAGCATCACAGACACCCAGATACCATAAACAAGAAATGCTACCAATCTGAAATGAATGGAAAACATACCACAGTACAAATCGATACTTACAGTTTGCTAAGCATTTCATAGCAGACAAAACCCACTGGGGTAGGTCCTCTGTTTACATGAAGATAAAAAATGCAGTTTATTTTCAGCATGCTGGCTAAGATAAAATAGAATTACATGTAATATGTGTATCATTTAAATATAAAACTTGTGGTAGTCAAAATGAAGCTTGTCATCCTAATTGATAAAAACAATGTGTATAATTCATTACAAAACATTCTTCATGTGTGCTTTGAACTGTATTATCAACAAAATTGTATTTTTCACAATTTCATTTAATAACAAAGAGCAGGTATAATGAATAGTAATCAAAAGTTGCATTTAATGTACACTGAAGACAGCACCTCACCTGATTTGTCTTTTAGAACCACAATGCCCAGTTTGTTGATATTGTACACATTATAAACAATGTAGTTTGGGCTAAGTAATGCAGTGTCCAGGACTCCATTCAATGATTTCAGGCCCAACAATGTCTGTAAGCTAGCAGAGAGAAGACAGTTAAAATGAAGTTATTTGGCAAACACAGGGAAATTCACAACATCGAAAAGAAAACATCATTCGTCCTACAAATAACTAACACAAAGTCAAATCTTCTCCAAATGGAAATGTACACACACAATTCAGAACTATAATAGCCCAATGATACACAGTAAAATATAATAAAAAAAAAAAAACTGTATTACTACAGTATAAAATAAAATATCAGAATACCTTTCTGTTAAGTGAACAATACTATAGAGGTTATACTGAGGAAGGGAGGATTCAAGATTACAAGAACTATACTATCAGAACTGCAGTGTTTCCATGTAAACATCCCCATCAGCTGTTTTTTAGTTAGTGCATAGTACTTGGTATCAAATTTTATTTGTGCAGCTGCTGATTGCTATAAAGCCAATTTCTTGTAAACTTTAACACAATTAATAAAAGCTTAACACAAAATTCTGCTTATTGTGGAGTTGTTTTAAGCACCATATTTAAACATGGCAGATAAAGGAGTAGGGATTTTGCACAGATTAGGATTTAGCAGAAGATTATGCAAATTCAAGTGGCACATGCCGTGTTAGGGTTGTAGACATCCAGATGCGCTCCATCTCTCTGCTCGTGATTTCTCTCCTCTTCATCACCTGGCACTCGCGTAGCTCTCCGAAGGCAATACTGTGCCTTTTCTTCCACGATTCCGAGTTCTGAAACCAAACAGATAGACCTTGTTTATATTTCAGAAGTTATACTATCAGAAGCAAAGATAAACCCTGATTTGGGGATTTGTAGATTCATTTCGTATCTCCTCTTAAAAACATCCTCCGTACCAAAACAAGAGGCTTAAAAGGAAGCATTCTCTGTGACATCAGCTGCTTCTCCACTCCGCAGTGCTGGGCCTTTGGAGTGAAAACGTCTTGTGCAGGATGCCGTGGCAACTTCTTAAAAGGTGATATTGAAGGGAACCTGAAAAAAAAACAACATGCAAATCATACTCATTATGGGTACATTTCCTTAACACAGTAAATGCTAACATACAGAATTGTACAGTGACAATACACAATCGCTGCTATTTGCCACTGAAGAGTAACGATTGAACATAAATTCCAATTTAGCTCCACCTGTTGCATTATTTAAAGGTCATTCCAAAAAGTATAATACCTGTAAACCTGACCATTGTCTTCAAAGTCCTCTTTGCCGTGACGTCCCTTTATGTCCTCGATGACATGGTTTTTCAGGAATTTTTTTAGCAGCTGTACAGTTTGATGTCGGGTGACCTCTGGTCCAAAGTTGTGACTGCCCTTCAGCAGCTCATGTAACCAATCAACTGCTTCAGATGCTGTAAAGCTGTTGTTATAACAACGGAAGTGAATCCAATGTCTGCGCAAAGGCATGTCCTTGCGAAAAAGCCTGATTGTTTCATTCCACTGCAAGGAAAATCAAATTTGATTCATCAGTTTTGCACAATATACAAAGCACATGAAAAGTAATGCAGACCATGTTAAAACGAATGTGGTAGGTGGCTCAGTGTTGAAAGGGTTGTCACTGTAGCAGATTTCAAAAGAGGCATGCCTAAGTTCCATAAAAATGTGAATTATCCAAGGAGGAACAGCAACTTTCTGGATAAGGTCTACAGCAGCATACTGGGAGCATTCAAGGCAAATCCAACAACATACCGTGGACTCTCAGATCACATCTCCCTGACCCTGACTCCATCCTACAAGCTTGGATCTGCAAGACGAGATCAGCTATCAAAACTGCACAGATACGGTCTGAGGAAGCCACCCCGATGCTGTAGAACTGCTTTGATAGCACAGAGTGGGACTTGTTCACACAGGACGGAATACATAACCAGTCCTAGGAGACATACTTTTTTTACACAGGAAATGTATTTGCACAAAATAAGTGTTTTCCAACCAAAACCTGCGAATGAACAACTGTGTGTGGGTTCTGCTAAGAGAACGAGCCACAGCTTTCAGATCAGACAATGTGCAACCCTACAAAGCAGCACGAGGGAACCTCAAAGCCCTCAGAGGAGTCAAGTGCAAATACAGACTCCCCATCAAAGAACACTTTTGATAACAACCGCTGCAGGATATGGAATGGCATTAAGGCACTGGCAAACTTTATGACCAATATTCAGTCTTCCCAATGTCCCGAACCCAGCCTTTTGCTCATTTTGACACTAGGCTTAGGCGCCAGTTTTTATAATCCCATGATGGATGATATTATCATTTACATAAAAAAAAAAACATAATTCATTCCGCTGCTGTCACTCCTAACTACAAATCCAACTACAGGACAGTGATAGTCGAGAACAAACAAGAAAACCATTGCTTTACTATCATGTAACTTTTCTGTTATGTTAATAATAATGATTTAAAAAATGTAATCAAGTGTGGTCATTCATTTATTAATATGAAAATAAGGGCTTGACAAAGGGTAATCTGCCTTTCTCATTTGGTTTAAAACCAAAAAATAAACCGTCAAACAGCTACAGCAGTCTTTGTCTTCATGACTAGGTCAGCCATCTTTGCCTTATTTCGTGAATAACACGTGTTTGACAATCATGGATTCAAAGCTAAAGTGATATTGTTGGTCAAGGTTGTCGACATCAGGTCAGATCAGGTCAGGCTGTCGACATTGCCATGATAAGATCGACATATTGCCCAAGCCTATTAACACGCAAGAATGAGGAGCTGCTTCCACCACAATAAATGTAGGTGAGCAGTCACTCAGTACGTTTACATGCACAGTGAGAAAATCGAATTATTGTCTCAGTCTGCCTAAAACTGGACTTTTAAAGTACATGTAAACATCTTAGTCCGACTGAAGTCATACTAAATCTAATTTCTCGAAGTCGGACTAAGACACAGAGATAATGTGATTGAGAGTCGATTTACTCCATGTATACATTCAATTGGACTCAAACCGGCCAAGGCATTCTGCACATGCTCCAGTTTCCCCCCCTGGGCTTTCACCCTGAAGTAACTTCAGAAGCCAGTACACAGAAGAAGTTTGGAGCATAGCAGAGGACGTACAGCACGTAGGAAATGTACAGCACTGTAAAGTTGGCCAATTCGCTGCTCAACTAAAGGGTGCTTTTCCACCACTTATCTTGCTTTTGGTACTTCAAGAAGGTACCAAAGTATGGTACTGCAAGGTGTTGGTTTTACTCTGGCATAAAAACTGGTACCGGCGCCGAATAACATTTTGTACTATTGATACCAACATCACAAGTTATTAACATCCAATTCTTACATCGCCAGTCAGCTAGATTAAGATCAGGCTTTTTCTTACCTTCAATTTGGTACGGCTATTATTCGTTTTATGATTACTCGTTTTATGATTAAAAATCAGTTTAAAGTTTACCTCCACTGCTTCTGCATGAGTGCTGCATGCATTCTCCAAGACAATCATAATCATTTTCATCCTTGCTGTTTACAGACATCTTTACTCCTAGACAGGTTCATGAGAAATTTATGCTGAACTAATTTTTGGTTTCAAAAATACCCCAGTATTTATTACAACAAAATCACATTGCAATTTTGAAAGATTTCCAATACTGTGCTGTCAAAGTATATTATATAAAATACTTTATTTCTTGTTATGCTATACTGATCTTGTTGTATCTGTTCTTCTGACTAGATTGCAATTAAAGCTTGTATCACTTCATTTGTCCACACAGTCATTAAATGTATTATTTTTTTACATCTGTGATGTAATAGGCCAACCGGAAAAACCACAATACTAACAAGCTGAAAGGAGCCATATCACCACCTATAGTAGCAAAGTCAGACATACTTTGGTCATTAAATCAATTCCCTTTCCGTTCATGTATGCTGGGACAAAGACAGTAGTCCAATTAAATAACATAGTCGAGTTATAACCGACTAAGAGAGTGCATGCGATAAAAAAGTTACTGATCCAGACAGAGTACACAGAATGATACTTAAGACATACACCTCTCAGCTTGTAGGCGTGTTCTCCAAAATCTCTCACCACAATAAGCAGCTGTTCCAACATGCCTCAAATCCTGAGTTAAGGGTGATTTATACTTTGTGTCAAACTGACGCTGTAGGTACAGTGTAGCCGCATACCCTACACCACAGCCTACGCCGTAGGTACAGTGTAACCGCATACCCTACACCAAAGCCTATGCCATAGGTACAGTGTAACCGCATACCCTACACCAAAGCCTATGCCGTAGCCTGCAGTACAGTACCTCCCCAGAAATGGAACTACACATCACGCTGACACAGATTGCAAAAAGTGTAACATGTCCACTTGGTGGCATCGCACTTCCTCCTACGCTACATTGTTGCTTCTTTACAGCTGGGGGTATTTTAGTGTCAACTAAGTTGTGCATATTTCATTGCTAGCCTGCTGCTTTTGCCACAGTTGTTGTCGTTCTCGCTATTAATTAAAAAACATGCCAGCCATTCACTCTTGGGCTGCATGATACTGAAAAACTTTAGATGTGATTTTTTAAAAGAATGAGCTGTCATGCTCTGGTTGATGCACAAATCCAACCAAAACACAAATATTACATACTTCACAGTTTCAGAATTCATATTTTAATGTCTCTCCACTCCAATTTTTCACCTGACTTAAAAGGTCAAGCACCTGCTTACTTAAATGAACTGATTTACAGCGCAGAATGTACACTGACATAATGGAATGCAAGCCCTCTGGTTATTCCTCACAAAAAGAGACGGCAGCATCTGCAGCAAAGTCTTCAGCCAGAGAAGTTGTAGTCTATGGAACAGCCTGCCAGTACGTGAAGGATGCCCCTCAGTCACAATGTATAAAAGAAAACCGAAGACTGGTTCATTCAGCCTAGCCTAATATAGTCTGTACCGACTTCTCAATATGCCCAGATACTCGATCCGTACTATGAACAGATATCAACAGAAAATAGCGCTACACATATACCTTTGTTATTCCAAGGGACTGTATTAACACGTAAATAAGACATACTGTGATTGAGTGAATGACGATCTTAATAATCGAAGACATGTAACACACTTTCATACGCGCTTCACAACAGAAGTGTACATTACTCACGGCTGCTAACAGATTCATACAATGTTTCAAATGTTTGATTCACCATAATGAAAAGTGAAATATAATTTACTTACAAGAAAATTATAGGAAGTTTCAGAACAAACAAATTTTTTGCCATTTAACATTTTAAAACGTTGAATTAGAGGGACAGTTTAGGTCAAACAGAAATGCACTAATTAGTGTTCAGATTTACACAAGTTACTTATTTTTAATTACAAGCCCACATTTACATACTATAAATGTAATAAATGTACATCTCATTTGAAACCCCACAATCCAAAATCTGTGTGTTTACTGTTGTGGGTGTTTACTGAAGATTGACATGAAACATCCCTGCTTATTCCTGCTAAACAGCTTCAAGTTTCAAGTTTAATGGTAACGTTCTTCGACCTAAACAGCAAAAACTGTGTAGTGTCTGATGATCCCCTTTAAATGTAACCTCTTCATGATTAATTTCTTACCAGCCTGGTTGCTCTGTAAGGTCCTGGTCTAATCATCTGCTTTCTATTCCGAAACGAAATACAACATCGAGATGTTCAGAAAGTCGCACGATTACACACCACGAGCGAGTTTGAATCTGCAGTCATTTAAACGCGCACTTTGATTGGCCCATGAGTTTGATCACATGATACACAATACCATATATGGTCCAGTCAAGGGCTCTATCAAATACGCATTTTTTTCTTTTTTTCCGCTTGTATTTCACAAATCACAAAAAAATCAAACATCAATTACGATGCAAAATACAATTCAAGCAGCATAGACATCCATAAAAATCTACCATCCTAGAACATTTTCCATGCTGTATTCATATATCGCCAGTTCAGTACACAGTTTAAGGGCATTCTTATTTGTTTTTTTTTCAGATCCTCCCGAATAAATGGTGAGAAATCAGGAGTAATCTTAAAATACCTATATTTATTAATTTAAAATCTAGCTAATATTACAATGCTGTTACAAAGGAATTCCAGTTCTTTATTTTGCATAAATAAACCACACATCTTTGTATCCCCGCACAATGATATATTTTTTGTAAGCAGCCAGTATCGTAATTTATCCCAAAAAATTGGGATAACCTTACAAGTATAGAAAAAGTGTTCTTGTGTTTCAATTTTAACCTTGCAAAATGAACACGTATTACATAACTCAAAAGTCCAATCCATGGGTAAATATCATTATTTTAAAGTGAACTTATTTCATTTTAGAAATAAAAAAAAAGAACTACAATATACCTTGTTCTTATAATAATTACTTCCAATTTAGAAAATTCTTTTGAAAGTACATTTATTTTAGTTAGGAACTAATTAGGAAAACATATGTTCTTCACCCCTTATGATCCCTTTATTTTGTGATTTTCCCCTTTTGTGTTCTGTTGTGGTTAATAAACCCTGTTCTGTTGTGAGCCACTATGTGGATTGTCCCTCTTTTCCCTCCCTCGCCATGCCCCACCGTAACAAATTTCTGTATAAAGTTCCTAATTATTAGTTTTAAGTTTTTAAACTTTTCATCATTATTTCTGTTCTTTATACATTGATCTTGAATATCTTAAATCTATTGATAAAAAGTGAGGGTACAAATATTGAGCTGTATTTTTAATTTTTTATTTAATTTGTACATGTGAGCTTACTGTCTCTCAGAAAATAATGTAATTTAATTACACGCACAGTGAGCCAGATTTGGTGGTGTCGTGTAACCATTTAAACTAACATCTCAAGAACTAAAGCAGCACAAATGAAGCTAGGTTTCCCATTGAATATAGAGTGCATATCACCTTGCTACCATAGCTACTGCCAGTTTTATCTCTCCTGCTGCAGCAATGCTTTTTTCCTATTGTGTCGTTAATTTACACAAGTTTCACGCCCCACTACCCTAATCAGTTTACCATGGTGTCCTACTTAGGGTTTAAACCCGAGCCCACTTTCGGGTATACCTCCCTGGTATTATCGCTTGATGATGTATGTGGGGATATGCGGATCTATTCTGAAATATTCCAGAAAGCGGGTTCGAGTCTTTCAATGTTTGCAATATATTTCAGCGTCTGTTTGCGCACTTTCAGCTGTTGCATGGTGTACATTGCCCCCTACAGTTAAGTGCTTAAAGCACACTGTACAGTACATGTCTGAACTATTTAGGTTTATCCTTGCCGTCACATTACAGCACAGAGCAAGTGGGGAAGTATAGTAGGATCACAAAACTATAGTGAGGGAATGCAAAGCTATTAAAAAAAAATAATTTCCCACCCTGACCTTTTAGGGACTCCATAGCAAACAACAAAATTACAACAAACGGTCTAATGCGCTCATAGGCCACAGTGACAGTTTAACATTTAAACGGGTTAATTGTAGTGAATTTCTCACATAATGTTTGAACGAATGTTTTAATACAAGTTAAAAAATGACAGGCCAGATATGCACCAATATATTCATTGTGTATCATCTAAGAGTTAGGGCTGCGATATACTTCACACGAGACAAATGCATACACAGTGCGACGTGTATACAACGCTATGGAACGCCGAACAGGTCAAAAACCCGTGAATATGTGTAGAATATACATTAACACGCATTAATTTTTCACACATAGAACACACGTTGACAACACGGCGTCTGTACTGGTAGAGATTAATCCTTGCCAGCAGATGGTGCCAATGTTTTTTGTGTCCGTTTCTTGTGCGTTGCAATAGCCAATAGGAATGACTCAGGTTTACCAGGAAACAGGGAGTCACACATGTTAAGTTACAGCCTACAGGGTTAGAGGTCAGATTTGTTCTGGTTGAATCTGCATCCAGCCTTCTGTGTCGTTTTATGGAAAGCAGTTACATTGTTTTATGGAAAGCAGTATTTGTAGCCATTAACATGTCTTCAGGGCATTATCTAATACTACACTACAGGCCAGAAACTTGAGCCAACCCTCCGATTTTTTAAAAACATTAACAATACACTGTTTTTCAAACTTTTTTTTATAAGAAAATATTAGTTTCCGGTCACTGTTGCTTCCTGTCAACCTTTTTCTCTGTAAACAGTAGGTCACTCCATGCTTAGAAACCTTTAACTTTCTGGCTATTTGGTAATGAGAGAACCCTTCTTCACTCAGGACTTTGTTCAATTGCTAGCTGTGCCTTTCTAGCCATCATAAGCATAAAAATAACAAACATCAAAAAATTCTGACATCAGTTGTGATACATCACAACAGAAGATTGAAACAAGGTGCAGACAGTGCATTAAACCTCACAAACTGATCTGGGACAAGGCAGACAAGTGGCTACCATTTAGTTTACTAAGACACGATCAAGAAAAGCCAAGAGCAAATCAAGTTCTGACATTAGTAAATAGAATTCCAACACAAAGTGAATGTCAATGCACCAAAGACAGTCCTGACATGTCTTCTTCAAAACAAATAGTTTCAGCCTTTGTGACTAAATAACATATTACTACAAGCTATAAAATACTGAAAACCAGTCAATTATATTTGTTTTAAGTATTTCTAATATTTTTTTGTAATAAATAATCGACAAAGCAGTGTATCGTTTAATTTTTTTTAATCTGAGGGTGGGCCCAAACTTCTGGTCTGTAGTGTGTCTTGGCATTGCAAGTGTTTTAGTGGATTGTAGTTAATGTTCTATGCTAGTAGAACATTATTCAGCCACATGGTGGTTCTGTGCAGCTCTAGAATTTATATAATCTTTTTTGCTTCTTACAGATTGATTACTATAAATGGGCAGATATATTCTGTTTAAGTGAATTGCTCAAACCAACAGCACTTTACACAGCACTTACCTGTAGACTTAATGCTTATATGGGCTCCGTACATTAAGCAATTCCTTTAAAAATCGTTTTTTTGTAATGTGATCAAATATGTTCATATAAAATTATATTATTCTTATGTGGCACATCACAGCTGAGTGCCTGAAAATTATGTTATTTGCTTCTAATTTTACTTTGTGGTCATTTGAAGGAAACGTCTCAGTGAAGGAAGAGATACACCTGTCACTTGTCAAGGAGTTATCTGTCGGCTTAGCTGTGCTCAGGTTGAACAGTGAGGGTAAAACGGTGTCTGATGTGCAGTTCTCCAGTCTCACATACTGCAGCCTGCCAGTTAGGTAGTTTTGTTTTCCAAGACACCAATGGCTCACCTTCCAATAAACCTGGTCTGATGACATTAAAAGCACTGGAGAAGTGGAAAAAAAACGTGACTCTCACAATGCTGCCTGAGCCATCCAAATATGTATAGTGAAGCACACCCATGCGTGGCCGGTACACAAACTGTAGGAAGCCCATCCGGAGTTGTGAGAGCACTGGTCTCTTTATTGACTTCATGACATGGGATGTCCGTGCCACTGACTTGTAGTTTTCGTGTGTATAGTGGGACATGTTTTCTGGGGTTTGGGGACCAAGCAGGAAGTTTTTCAGAGCACAAGGTCCTTCTTTTATCACGTGATATAAACAACATCACCTTATCACTGGTTAATCGTTTTCTAGCCACTACATTTAAAAATACGTTGTATCGTACCAGACTCGAAAATCCATCATGCATGCCGTGCGTGCACATCCGAAACGTCACCAATCAAGCGCTCTCAGAGATGGCGGAACAAATGAACAAGACACACATTAAAAGCTAATGTTTTCACGGTCTAGTGTGAGACCAAACAAATATCTGATGCAATGTACTGTTTGCTAGAATAACGGCTGGTATTTCTGTATACAGAAATTAAACTTGAAGTCTGCGGAAGCACGTTGCAGTTCGCGGGCATTTTCATACCCGCGCTGCGAAAAGCGGGCACAAAACTTGGGAGCTAGTCTAGTGGCTCGATGCTGGGGGTGGGAGCTTCGTCTATGCAGTATCATGTGACTGATGACGTACGATGCGTCCTGAGGCGTCACAGGTTTCGAATCCTGTCGGCTCTTTTGACATTTGTAAAGCGAGATGAAACCTTTGGCCGTCTTGTTTTTTATGTTGATTGATTGCATTACATACAACGACTTTTGATTCATTATGTTAAGTGGCACAGGAAATGGCAAGAGGCGATGCTCAGATGTTTGGAAACATTTTGAGTTGAATGCATATTGATATGGCAAAATACTAAATTATTATTATTGTTGTCGTTGTCATAATAATAATAATAATTTAGTAGTAGTAGTAGTAGTAGTACCATTGCTGGTTCAGTGGGAGAATCATGGCCTGGCACATGGGATGCTGAGTTTCCATTCCATTGTTGTGAATCGCTTTGGATAAAAGCATCTCTCAAATGAATAAATGCAAAATATTATATCTGTATTACTTATCATTATTTTACTAGCCAGTTTTGCATTGCAAACATCTGTCATAAGGCAGTAACACATCCTCAGTGTGCTAAATATCTTCATTGCACCCCAAGGTGTCAACGCCTCATTCTTTCTCTCCTCTGTCCCCATCTCACTTTCAAAACTACTCTGTACACTCCAACATGTGAAAACTATCACACGCAAGCCATCAATCCATTGCAGCAGCTAATTGGCAACAACTGAAAAGTATTGAGTTTATTTCAGATCCATCATAATATTTGATTGCAGATATATAATTACTGAAAACACATATTAACAAGCCAAAAGAAACACTTGTAGTAATTTTTATGATTATATTTTGCATAACAAAATCAGACCCCACTGTCATAACAACAACGATGCAAATGCAGAAACTTCATTCTCAGGGGTACATTTCTCCAAAATCTCCCATTAGCAGCTTATAATAGTTGGAGCCCTAGTTGCATGGTACCAACTATGTAAGTTGCTAATGTTTTTAGCAGCTGTGGTTTTGGGAAACGTTGGGGCCCCCCTGTTTTTGAAAAAAAAAAAGGTTCAAAGCCACGAAACATGTTCCAGCAAAATATGGGGAAGGCCTGCAAAGCTCCGTGAAGCTTCATTGGCACGTTGCTGATGAAAAGCATCTTCTGATGACCCTCCCTTAAAATCACCTGTCTCATCCAATGCTGTACCTGGAGAAACGCATATTTGTATCCAGCCAACGGTTGGTGGGGGGTGGGCACTACTAATAATTTAAATATCGAGGTCTCCTCAGTTCCTATGTCCCTATACCTAAAACATCCTGACCTAAGCCTGCCTTTTCTGTTTATTTCACATGCACTCATACACATAGGTGACAATCTGGAAGGGTGTCTTTATTATTATTTTCCAGTTTAGAATCCTGGTGTAACATGCACTTTGTAGGTGAGAGCACACACACAATTAAAAATAAAACAAATGGGCTTTATGTATTAGTGACTGTTTTATGCATATTTTATATATCCTATTACGTTGTTTTTTAAATGCATTTGTTTATCTTTTTATTGAATTTCTATTTTATGAATTGAAATGTGTCTGTGGCTGTAAATTTATACTGTTTCCATTTATTTCCTCTTGATTTGAGGCATACAATGTATTCATTACATGTGTGTAAATACAGATCTTTTCACTGTCACTTTTTTTCCTTATGCTCAATCGTTCTGGTCAGTTATTAGACATTAAAATCTGGCCAATGCAACAAGTAACTCACTATTTGAGTAGTATTTTTGCTTAATACTTTCTTATTTTACTCAGTAATAATGTTAGTGAATACTTTGACTTGAATTTGAGTTTTAATTTTTACAGTAACTGTACTTGGGTGATATTTATGGCAATTCTACCTACCTGTGCTCCCAAGCTAAATCATTATAATTAAAGATATAACTGAGGCCCAGCCTTGTGCTCTGTACTGTCTGGAACAGACCACAGACACACCTGCAACATCTACCTGAATAAACAGTTGGAAGATGGATGGATGGCCTCTCTGTGACTCTGACCAAGATAAGTGATTTTACGATGGATGGTTTATGTTTGATAATAAGCCTATAGGATATTTTATGCTTCAACGGAATATTGTAGCATTAACAACGTTATTAAATAAATATGTTAATTCTTACAGCCTACATATGCATTTCAGACAAGTACATCTCCACCCTCACATTTTAATTTATAAACATATTTATCATAAGGAAACACCTTAACTGTTGTTCTTAATTGTCCCATCTGAAGGAAACACAAAAGGTGAGATGGAGCTGCTTACACTGGTTTCTTAGAAACTCTGGACAATGCTCAAGCTGGGGACTATGACAGCTTCTCGGCATTGATTTGTTTAATTATGAAGATAAGAGGAATTACAATGAACATTATAAAGATGTTATTTTAAACTATAATGAAATTAGAGGGAACAATTCATATTGATATGGAAATGTAAAATGATCTTTGTTAATAGGGCAGAAGTAAAAAAAAAAAAAGATAAAACAAAATTTAAATAATCAGTAAGAGATAATTATGATATATGCGAAACAAGTAACATTTCTGTAAGTGTTATCTTCCTGAGGTCCAACAATGCATCTTTATCCCCTGTAGAGGACATTATGTTTTTGCTCATATCTCTCATACTGCACATGCCACTCTAAAGAGGACAGTTAGAGCTTTAAGATGACGTTATATGTTTGCAGATGTGACCTTGCCAACCTCCTCTTCCTGTCAAATCAAAATTTTTAAATCAATATGATTTTTTCACAAGAGCCCACATTATAGTAAATGTATGAAGTTCCTGACTTCTGAGGCAACTACAATACTGAGTTGGAAATAGTTCGTACCCTAGGCGGCGCCAATGACTGCATTGTATAAAATACAAAATAATATTTGCTGAGAGAGCAGTATAAGAAATGAAGCCAGAGGCTGGTTGTATGTGTTGTATAATGTGAACCAGTTTTGCTGAGTTGTAAATAGGCCTATAGTTTTAAGCAGAAAGCAAACTATGTGGAATCCTTGTTACTGTAGGTCTACTCCAATTAACTACTACATTCACGATAGCGTGTGCTATCTCCACTGTATCTGAATCATTAGATTTCATGATCAAGACTAAGTAATCTTACAATAATAAAGCATAATAGAAACAATTATGCACATTACCAAATAATTTTAAGTAATGAATTTACGTATATGTGTATATTGAAAAGTAGGCACTAAATATTCTGTAAAATTTAGTATGCACATTTACATAGGTTATTCCAGGTTACGGGGGGCTGGAGCCTATCCGCTGTCTATCCCAGTACATATTGGCTGCAGGTGCACACTCGCACACTATGGGAGATTTAGAGACGTAACTTACACTAACTGTATGTCTGTGAAGTGTGGAGGCAAATGCGTGTGATATGGAGAAAACAAATAAATTCATACAAACACAGTGGAAGTCAGATTCAAACATCCCGACACTGGAGGTACGACGCAACAGTGCTACGCACTACTCCCCATCTACTCCTTCACTGATTGACCAGCCATAAATGAAACAATATTCAAACGAATTATATTAATTTGGGAGTTACGTAGTCGATCTCGAATCTCACTCGCTGGGTATGTCTTACGATGAACTGACACCTCGTCCGGGGCTGATCCACTGCCCTGTGCTGTGCACTTCCTGTGACAGGTTCTAAGCTCTATGTTACCCTGTAAGCAGTTTGAGGATGAGCGATTATTTTAAATCAACATAGCACTTGAAAGCAGTTTACACTTTTTTATTTACTGGTGTTTCGTTAAGACCAAATATAATAATCCACTTTATATTCTTGTTAATTAATTCAATCAGAATTTTTACTTAAGGCACCCAAAAAGAGGTTAACGCGCAAAGTTTACGCTACCATAGTAGCGCAGTATCAGCGTTTGCGTAATGTTTACTAGGACGACCATGAACTTTCCCTGAATTTAATGAGCTGCGTGAATGAGGTACAGCATTACATATCATATATATGATGAATATTTAAATCATTTCTTGACTTTAACAGTGTATGTAAATGATGTATTTCGCTCTCTGTTACACTGACATACATAACTTAAGATCTGTTTCTGTAAGTAATATAAACACGGCTGTAAATTGTATAGCTCGTGAAATGTCGCATTAAAAGTGTTACAGGATTACGAGAATTAAGCTTCCTTTTGGCAATGTGTCGTGTTTACTGTCACGATAAGAGTTTAATTTCACGAATACTTGGAAAGCCGTGACGGGAAGGCTTGACATCACGGCGGACGGACGGGCGGGGCGTGTGTCTGACTCAGTGAGGTTGCCAGGCGCTGGGTCGGTGTGGGAAGTACTGAAATTTAAGAGCGTCACAGGGCTGCCACTGCCGCTGCCACAGCCAGGTTAGGAGCTACTTCTTGTCAAAACTGCTCAGACGTGGTTGGCCAGAAAGCAAAGCTACAAAGGCTATTTGCTTAAGTTAGCTGAAGGAACTTCAGAGTGCATTTTAGAGGTTAACTGTTTACAAAGTTTATTTTTTTTTAAAAACAGAAGCGGCTCGTAAGGTCCTACCTCCTTATAAAAGTGGCTGGGATAAATTCTAAGAGTAATAAATGATTATGGAGAGGAAGAGGATGGATTGCCCGGCTCTCCCCCCGGGTTGGAAGAAAGAAGAAGTGATCCGGAAGTCGGGGCTCAGTGCGGGCAAGAGCGATGTCTACTACTACAGGTAAATAACACTCAAAATACTAATGCTTACAGTGTAGCGCTGTAAAGCGATCTGAAAAGGAGCCTTCCACGTTACTTTGCAGGGATGAAACGCAGAAATGGCAGTCTATCCTCTGTTCCTCACGCTCGGTTTAAAACTCGAGCAAGTGATGTCCAGTGATCCGAAGTGGCCCGCCTGCGCTGGTTGCTAGCTTTGCTAATGGCAGTATAATCGTAATATGTACAGTGTAATGGAGAGTAATAAACCGCTTTACACTCAGTGTATATCCAATTGTTCCGCATCACTTGGGCTGCCCCCTTAGCGCGGTTTTCGGCTTCTAGTTGAATCTGCTTGAAAAAAGGGGGGAAAGTCCTGTTGGGTTTTTAATAGGCCATTGTCTTTTTTTAGCATTCTAAATAATAAAAAAAAACAGGAATGCTTCATTTTTCTTTAAAACTAATTTGATGTTTGAAGTGTAGGTCTTTTGTTTATCTGTAATTTAACGTTGTCTGTGTGTCATAAGAGAGAGAGGTTCTTTAAGAAACAGACGTCTTCCCAGCGTTTGACAGGTGCTTCCTCTTCTTGCTTGTCCTGGGATCTCTGAAGCACACTTTTAGAGTATTAGGATGTGCTTATGAAACTGATTTCATGTGTAGCTAATGAAATCATACCGTTCTCAAAGTTGTAGGATTCTTAGCCAAGTAAATGGGGAAAACGAAGTACTTTACAGGGTTTCTTTTATTTGAAATGCATAGTATTTTTGCTGTTGGAATAAAGCAAGCTTATGGCAGAAAACAGTATACAAGATTATTAAAAATGAACATTATACTCATTTAAAAAAATAAATTATCTTTACCAATTTGTAGTAAGAAATCCCACTTTATTATACTTAAAAAAGCATTTTTAATCACCTAATTAAAAAGACCTAAGTGTGAGCTCTTGACCTTTGACCTCACACCAAAGTTAGTCTTTTGCAAGACTTGTGCTGTAGATAATATGCTTTAGCGGCATTTTGTGCTTTAACCTTGTATTGCAAAGATTATAATATGTGTGTGTATACTGTATGTCCATAACATGTTCTTTGAAGGGGACCTGTTATGCTAATTTCCAGTGTTCATAGTTTTATTTTTGTGGAATACTAGAATAGATTTTCATGCTTCAATGTTCGAAATACACATTATATCTCTTATGCTGTACATCTCTATTCACCCTCTGAAACACTGTTAGAACTTTAAGCCCCACCTCTGATCAGCCGAGTGTGTTCTGATTGGTCAGGTTACCCATTTGGTCAGCTTGCCGTAAAAGTCCTGCCTCTGTCTTGCAGGTTACAGACAGTTCCTTCCAGGTGGGCAGCCAATAAGCATTGTGTCCTAATCTTGCTGTCCGTGACACACACACTGACACATACATAGGAGAGCAAACCTGGGACAGTACAATGACTAGCACCCCTGGAGAAGTTGGGAGTTGAAGGACTTGTAGAAATAGATTTAACAAGAAATAGGAGTTGTCTTTTTACAGACTGCCGAAAACTAAATGAGTAAGTTTCGGACTTTAATTGGTTCACATGTGGCCCATACCCGATCCATCAAATTAGGTGCCAATCAGGATCAGTGCCAATACCGGATTGGTGCACCTCTTATAATAATAATAATAATATTAATAATAATAATAATAATTATTATTATTATTATTATCCACCCACCTTCTACCCACTTGTCCTATGCACGGCCTCAGATGTCTTGAGCCTGTCCAAGGAGCTATGGATTCATGGTAGAGATAGTGTAGTTATTAATAATAATAATAATAATAATAATAATTACTACTACTGCTACTATTACTATTATTTAGGTGGTACGGTGGCTTTGCAGCAAACACGTTTTCAGTATTGGGGGGGACAGGGTGTGGCCTAGGGCTGAACGATAGGGGAAAAATATCTAATCATGATTTTTCTGACCGATATTGCGATTACGATTTGATTTGCGAAGTCATTTTTTATTTGTCAAGTTTCAGTTTAATATTACGTGTCTAATAGATTTAAAACATATGATGCAGCATTACCACATGAGATACTATCAAAATATGAACTGGTCTATATTTTAATGCAAGTATGTTAACTTAAAGATATGAATTACTTCCAACATGTATTTATTACTTTTTTAAATTAGCCGAGAACAATCAAACATAAAACAATTATCACAAAAGCAGTGACTGTTAATTTAAGTAAAAATGTTACAAAATAAAACAATTCCGGAAAAAAGAAAAACAATAGCGATCTTGCAGCTAATGCTGCTTCGACCACTAATCATACTAGGACCGCCTACGAACGTCAAACTCCAAGCGAGATGTATTTTGGCGTATGCAGCCCTTCTGCTTCCGCTAATGTGCCTTTAGTGTTAATAACAGCAGCGAAATCTAACACTCTACCAAATAGCTGTAATGCTCCTCACAGACTGGCTGCTCTGCCCTGAGAACGTACAGCTGAAAAGTTTTCAAACACAATATGCATTTTAGTTTATTCGTGATTTCATGTTTGTCAAAGTTTCCACTTTTTAACAACTGTATAAAGTAGTGTCATTTTTTTATACTAATCAACTCAGGTGTCACAATTTAAAAATGTACATCTTCAGAGTTGCCAGCTCTCATTCATCTGGCATGACACTCAGGCTTTCAGAGTCTTGCGCTCAGGCAAGAAATCATATGGAAAATGTGTATCACTCCATTATAAACCTAAAATGAGCTATATTTAAAGTGGTGGGATAGTTGGCAAACCCTACAGACTATGTACACGGTAATAAAACTATTACATGTATGTAAATGCATGTGCATGTGTGTCCAGACTTGTCCCAAACTGAAAATCTCACTCCAAACAGCAGACCAAAGTTGGCAACCTTGCGTTTTATTAAAAGATTATTAAAAGATTATTAAAAGATTAATCAGTCGAAACCAATGCTTAAATGATTGGGTACTAAAATATGACAAGCACCACTGCATTATGGATTTTACAGCTTTTTTGGGGTGACAGCCACTGCTGTGCAGATTACTGACCGTTCCATTGTTTTCTTGATGGGTGAATGCTATGCTAAAGTGAAGGCTTAGTAACACAAAAACAAAAAGCGTGATCTGACAAAGTACGGGCTGCTGGTGGTTAAGGGAGGTTGAGGCGGATCTATTAATAATAGGAGCTTTATGTCATGGTCAGAGATTATTTATATAGATAGGTGATTCACTTATAGCTCAGCAGCAGAATCAATATTTTTTCATACTGTGAATGTAATGCCTTCCTTGAGTTTCATGTGTTTCCTGTTTCTGGGTATATCCGGGTCGTCTTGGGCCACTTCTGATTGGTCAGCATGACTGGCACACAGAGGAGCATGGCACTTCTGATTGGTAAGAATGACTGTCACACAAGAAGAATGGCATGAATTTATTCTCGCAACACTTTTAAGCCTTGGTCAGATGTGCTGTATAATGCATATCCTAAATCGCGGCCTTTGTGATTGGCTAATCACGTTGTTTAGAATCGTGATTTCAATTTGAAATCAATAAATCGTTCAGCACTAGTGGGACCTGCTGAAACCATTCCTGCTTTCAGTCAGGAGTGTAAATTCACAGTTCAGAAGTTTTTGAAACTTATTTTGGTTACCCGTCAGAAGCAATGCAGTTTGACAAAACATTAAACAAGCAACTTAACCAAGTCCTCAACTGACCCGTATGTATACTTTGTCAAATTCTGTTTATGTTTGGGAACTAAACGATGGGTATTTATCACACAGTGTTGCCTGCAATTTCCAAGGGAAATATTCTGTAAGGACATTGTAATTTCAAGAGCATCCTTGACAATGCAATACTAGTTTTTAGTCTATTGTTTCAACATTACCCAAGGTAGCACTTTGTTTTATTCATCAATTCTAACAAAATGATGTTACGCATGGAATACAACTGCACTGCAACCATTTCAAATACCCGGAGTGTCAACAGATGCCTTACAGTGAAATAACCAATCACAGCAGTGTAAAGTTTAAAGCGTCCCCCCTCCACCATCTGTCTGGCTGATCCACTGTAGCTCCAACCATGTCGCTATCCCCACAATCCCTTTCAACACTGCTTGCTGTGGGTAATTGATAAACGTTGTTGTAGATGTTTATGCATCTGCAACTGCTAAAATTCCAATGAAGTTGGGACAAAGGGTAAATTGTAAATAACAGAATGCAATGACAGAGAAATCTCATAATCTGATATTTTATTCACGACAGAACATGTAAAACATGTAAAGTGAGACATTTTGCTATTTAATGAAAAATATTGGCTCATTTTGAATTTCATGTCAGCAATACGTCTCAAAAGAGGTGGGACAGGGGCAATAGGAGGCTGGAAAAGTTAGTGGTACAAAAACCCAACAGCTGGAGGAACAATTTACAAATAATTAGGTCAATTGGCAACAGGTCAGTAACATGACTGGGTAAAAAAAGAGCGTCTTAGAATTGCAGTGTCTTTCCGAAGTAAAGATGGACAGAGGATCACCAATCCCCCTAATACTGCATCAAAAATAGTGGAGCAATTTCAGGAAAAAAGTTCCTCGGTGTAAAATTGCAAAGAGGTCGAAAATATCATCATCTACAGTACATAATATAATCAAAAGATTCAGAGAATCTGGAGAAATCTCTGTGTGTAAGGGACAAGTATTCTGGATGCCCATGATCTTCAGGCCCTTAGGCAGCACTGCCTCACAAATAGGCATGATTCTGCAATGGAAATCACTAAATGGGCTCAGGAATATTTCCAGAAAACGTTATCAGTGAACACAATTCGCCGTGCCATCCAAAGATGCCAGTTAAAACTCTATCATTCAAAGAAGAAGCTGTATTTGAACATGATCCAGAAGCACTGACGTCTTCTCTGGGCCAAAACTCATTTAAAATGGACTGTGGCTAAGTGGAAAACTGTTCTGTGGTCAGGCGAATCTAAATTTGAAATTCTTTTTGGAAACCAGGGATGCTGTATCATCCAGACTAAAGAGGAGA